AACAATAATAAAAAAAAATCTCCACTTAACTGAGTAGTGATGTGGATTTTCTTTGCCAAACAATTCTAGAAAATCATTTTGGTGCTCCTTGCCACCCAATGCCCAATTGTGATTTTAAGCATATCCAATAGCATATGATGGATTCCTGTCCCAAAAGAATAAACCAGTCCTCTTTATCGTACCCCCAATTTGCAACTTGTCCTGACTAAAAGAAGCCTTTTCGAAAGTTTGCCATCTTGAAATAAATCACGATTCTCAACTTCATTATATTGCTATGTGGGCTCATAGCCGATAGGCCTACGTAATACTTTTGAGATTAAACGTGCCCTTTCATCATTAGTTGTTTGCCTCTATGGTATTTTGCCTATGCATTTGCAAATTTGACATTCCAAAATGAGTTAGATCGATGAAGCTCACTCCTCAAATCAATAATGGCATTGATTTTGGATTTTAAAAGTAAGAATATTTTGGAATAAGTTTTCACATAGATTATTCATATCCTGAGTTGCACATCTATAAAATATTAGTTTTTTTTTCTTACTGTATTTCTTAGAATTCAAATCTAAAATCAGATAATAAAGTGACAAAAAAAGAAAAAACGAGCTTGCTTACTAATAAAATTAATCCTATGAGATTTAATAAATCTGAAAAATCTGGTACAATAGCTAATTTCACGTATTCAATGATATAGAATTACGCTGATAGAATACGATAAGAAATGCAATAAAGGGTAATTTAGTCTAAATGACTCAACGTCGTTGTTGTCAAATTTATTGTGACTCACAGCTCAAATTGCATCTATTTATTGTCAGCGTGCGGATAATTCTCAACTTGGAATCGAAAGAAAGGCAAAAACGCACGACTTTGGGAGCTTTTCCACTCAGGTGTCGTGAATTTGGTGTCTTAAATGTGTTCCACTGACTTCAACGTGCTCCTAACAATGAGCAATTATTTGGACGTGGTGCGTGTACTGTGTATCTATCCTTCAAATCCTCCTTAAAAAAATTGTTCTTTGTTGTTCATGCTTCATCGCACGGTTACACTAACGTCTAAGATCTGAATAGGGATGACTATTGGGTTATTTGATTTCCATTTGGACAAATTCGATTTGGTTCTTGGTTAATCTAATTTATATATATTAAAAAAAAAACCTGAATTTGAGTTGAAATATTTTTTGGTTTTTGCTTTTTTATTCAATTTTTGATATTTTTAATATAAAAATGATAAGATATCAACGTTATCAGGAGTTTTATATTTATTTGATATGTTAAAAATCTCATTTTTAGTCCTTTTTAATCAATTTATTTAAAAATATATATATTATCCAAAGTTTCAATCAACTACAAAATATCATTAAATATCTAAGTCAATAATAAAACCCATAAGTCATAATTAACATATAATTTATTTAGCAATCAATCAAAAATAAAAAAATTGAACTAATAGGGTGATGAGTTTTTATAGTTTAGATTTGGTTTTGAAAAATGAAAAAATAAAAATAAAAATAAAAACCAAATTTAAATCTTTGATTTTGAATTAAATAACGTTCAGCTTGAATAAAATCAGAAGACTCTTCTTCAATAAAATATCATGATACTTTTTAAAAAGTTGCAGAATATTCTAAATGATATGTATATATATATATATATATAAATTGGGGTGGTGCCATTTTCGAAGGAAGGAGGAGCGCATGAAAAGAGAAAAAAAGAAAAACTAATGCAAGAAGTCAGGCACCTTAATTGCCACTTGCACTCATGGTCATGGATAAACAAAAGTGCAAGTAAAGACAACATTTTCCTTGTCCACGAACTAAGAACTAGGATTCCATCAAAAATAGGCCAAGCCCATTTAACAACAATAATGAAAATATTTAATTAACGATAGGGACCAATAATTAAGCACTTACGCATTGTTCATCTTCAAGTCATAAACTAATTAATATCGTCTTTCAAGTCAGTGGTTTCTCTCTTTCTTTCCTCCATCCCTGAAGGAAAATTCTGAAACCGGGAATAAGGTTCTCAATATGGTGTGTTAAGCCTTGTTTTTTGGTCCATTGACCTTACAGAATCGGGTGCTGGATGCCGATGGGTTTGAATTGGATGGATGTTTGTGGTAAAGGCAAATGGGTAGGTCTATCCCATGTCTCTGGATTGCATAACCATCAGCTTTGCCATGTTGTGGCCAATCGTATCAATTAATGCAAGAGAACTTGTAGTGCTGCAATTATCACGAATCTTTTATTTCTCACATGAATATTCTGTATTTAGCTAAGTTAGAAATATGGATTAGCCCGAGCACATGAAAATTAACTTTAAAACATTGCCTATGTTGAACAAAAAAAAAAAAAAAAACCTGTGACAACATTTCTGAAAATATTTCTTCCGACTTTTGGTTTCACTGTTAAAAGATTTAAGTGCTTTCATATGGATGATGGTGACCATCTAACAAATACAAATTAAAGCCTTGAATTATGTGAGTGTATCAGAAGCCCGATCTTGACTTCTATATTTAACTCTATGGCGACTAGACTATGGTCTATGAATACTGGTGTAAATTATAAATTAATCCCTCTTTTTTTTAAAAAATTAATTAATTAATCTATCTAGTTTTAAAAAATAATTATTTAATTCTATTAACTAGCGTCAACTACAATTAATTTTATAATTTTTTTTATCTTTTTTGTAAAATATCTTTTTTTCTCACCCATCTATACATATATTTTTTCTATTTAAAAAATTAAAAAAAGCAAAAAATCAAATAATTAAATTTTAAAATCAAAAAATTAATTAATTTGTTTTTCGAAACCGGACTAATTTATAATCTACTTATGAATACTTTGGTAGTGTAGATGAAGGTCCTATCTATGTCTAATTTTCAACTTGTTAGGAGCCTTCAATTTAAGCTGCCTGTCATCAGCATCCCTTTTTTTCTTTTCCCTATGCTAGGGGTCCAAATTGTATTATGGCTTAGCGTATGAAATTCGATTCCTAGCTGCAACACAACCCAAATAAAATAATATTTAAAAACTTCTTCTTCTTCTTCTTCTTCTTCTTCTTCTTGTTTGTTTTTTTTTTTTTTCGAGTTATGGGCATGGTTTTTTCTTTTTCTTTTTGTTTTATTTATCCGGATGAATAGCTTTCCCTATGACCCTATGGACCGTATATAAGACCTGCCCATCCAAAAACATAAGGGTTTCGAAATAATCTGAAAAATAATGAATCAACAGATGTATATTTCCTCCTACTTATCTTGGTGAAAAACGAAAATAGTGCACAGCCATGCACTTAATGTGATTGTAGTTGGACTGGTACTAATTAATTGTGATATTTCAACTTAGTTGAACTTAATTAAGAGTTTATTTCAACTATCGTAAACAATGGAATGCACTGAACACAAATGAGAATTTAAAGTTTCGATCCGTTGCACAAGAAAGAAAGAAAGAAAGAAAGAAAATGGAAATAGCCTTTTATAGTACGACGTCGTAACATATCATCAGTCAATCAAACCCTGACCTCTCGAGTACGCACTGATTTAGATGTTTTGCACAGAAGGGCCCAATAGCTATTTTGCCAGTTGGGAGAAAGCCCTTAATTTGGGTCTAATTGGCTTGGACCATGAAAATGTTAAAACTAGGTCATAAAGAATTAAAATCGTAATATATATATATATATATATATTCTTTTTAGCTCCTCAGCTCTTTGTTTTAGACGAAGAAACGAAAAAAATCACAGAGAGGAACTCCTGATTTGCCGGGTTTTACTGGCTCGCTATTAGAGTTAGAGCCTCATGCTCGCAATAATAGCATCATCCTAAGAGAGTAAACAGGAGAGAATAATTTTCTGAATTTGGTCCATTAACCTCACCTCGTTAACTCCATTCATCAATGACCTAACTAGTGTTGTAGTCGTGGGGTTTTCAAATAATGGCCCTTGAAACTGAAAAAAGAAAACCAAATAATAAGCCAATTTCGTATTGGTTAGGCTTGTTTATCTTCGATATGTTCAGGACCAAAATAATTGTTTTGTTAAGTAATTTGCTTTGCCTATAGCAAAAGCCTATTTTGAGAAGCCAATGCCTTTTTCATTAAAAAAACGCGTACTAATTTGGGTTAAGTAGCATTACTGACTACTGAGGTCTTCGATACAGGTTTGTTATGCTTCTCAGCGGCCTCCTTTTCTAAACATGCCTCTGCACGAACAAGAGCTTGCATTTTAACAATGGCAAGAAGACAACGTAGGATTTAAGGTGGCCACGTACAGCAGATTGCAACTTAACATTATTTGATTTTACGCTTGAAATGAATGGTCTAACAAAGCCTGAATCGGCATTTATGAAGCAAATAGGATCAATACATATTGGCCATTGCAAGCAAAGGAAGGAAATTGTCATTATTGCTACAAGAGAAAAAAATAATAATAAATCCTAAACTCGGGCAGAAGCAACCATGATAATCAAGACTACTTACTGCAAAATGCAACCAGGACCTACACAATTTCCTTAGAACTCCTCCCTCCAAAAAACGCCTAACCATCCAAATGCTTTTAAATCCAGTTATTTGACACCCAAACTCACAAACTTACCAACGCAAATTTTCATGCCAAAAAAATGCGGTATTCATGGAGAATCACAAGTTCACCATACTCCCACTGGTAGAAAAATCAAAATGTGAGCAGTTCCATAATCCTTTCTACATAACATAACCACTATTGGTTGAGCAATAGAATAAAAAACATAGGCAGTTTGATAATCTTTATCATTATCAACCCATGTTGAGAGCCATAATCAATCTTTCTTTTCTTGCTAGGAAAGAAATCACAAAACAATCAATCTCGAGGAAGGGAAATCTACAAAATAAGCAACTTCTTGATGCTTGGAAATACAGAAGCTTATGATAGCAGAAAAAGAAATACAGAAGCATGTGGTTCTGTACAGCAGATTGTAAGTCACTTCACCAACAACACAACCTAGTTTTCACAGGCAAACTTAACTGAGGCACACAACTAATAATCAGGGATAGAAGCAAAGCGATATCCTTTAGCACCCCTCCATGAGTAATATGCTATCCGAGTTTCGTAAAAGCCTGCAGCCACAAGCAAAGGTCAATTTAGCAGAGGTCAGTTGAACAGACAACAAAAAACATAAGAGGATGTCATGCCACAATAATACGATTATGAGCTGAAAAATTCATACATGGAAACACAAACAGAAGTTCCACAAAAAGGCACTGCAAAAGATATTCCATAATAGATACAACCTTAAGACACCATGCATATAAATTTCAATGATAGCTCAATAAAAATTCCATGTGTCATTAAATTACTACGTTCCAAAAGAAAAGGAACCCAAAGCTCCATATAATCAAAATCTACTTTGTGTCAGTTCACATCTCACAACATCCTCCACGTGTACTGTGCAAATCCTAGATGCTCATTCTGCAATTCAGGTGGCCAATCTTTCTATAAACCTAATTGTCATAATGCTAGCAAAGCCATCACAATTTCTGAATTTGGATGAATGACCAATTTCTTGTAGCTTCCTACTCCAAATCCTAGTTGTCTCGATCAAGACAAGCATCGTGTTTTCTATGGCCAGGATAGGCTTTCTTCTTCAACGTGTTTATCGATTTACCCAACATATGAATATGGTGTGAGTTAGCAGCAATAAATGCAAGTTCTTAACTTTCATAATCACTGATAACAAAGCATATTGATTGGATTTTACTTGATTATGGAAAGTTAAAAACCTTCCATTTAATGATGTTAGGACACATGTTAGAAAAGCGCTACATGTATAGAACTTATGAATTACAGTTAAATTGTTCTAAGACATACTCAATGAGTTTAGTATTAATTTTACAGAACTTTTGCAATTGAAAAGGATGAATATTAGTTTTACTCCATAACATCATGATTGCAACCAACTTTAGTTACATTATGAAAGGCAGGAAGCCAAATGGAAGGTGACACCATGTTTCCATATCCTAATTACAGATTACCATACAAGCAGGTAAATGATGGGCCTTCAGACCCAGTCCAAATTTCAAATAAGAAATTCGCAAGCAATATAAAAACGCTGTCACGTCAAAGTAGCTTCATGGAGAAAATTGCAAGTAGTTAATGGTTTGTAGGATTGAACTATTTGAATCAACTGGAGGAAAGTAGATCATCAATGAGGAAGCCACAACTACTTCCATATTCATATTATCTAGAAATTCATCATGGCACAAAGAGAACGGTCTGAAAATTTGTGCGCCAGTTACCACATCTTTTAACTTATTTTATTTCTTCAATTGCAAGCCTAAATTGCAGAATGCCAAGGCATTTGGTAAATTGCAGCATCAAAGATGCAGTAAAGAGCATGTATCCTCAAGTTATACAAGCTTTTACAGACTTCTATAGAATGTGATGGAATATCTTTCAGAATTTTTTAGATATGGACTTATTGCTGAAAGAAGAAGAACTATTTCTTTTATAATTATCAAGAGTATCACTATTACAGAACTGCAACAAGTAGTTATTATTACATAGATGGAAACTCAATTAATGAACTGCATCTTAGACACCTAGTGATCCATATTTTGCCAAGAGGTTATCATATACAAACCAAGAAAGGGCGCCACATCAAAAATCATTTTGCACAAAACAACAGAGAGGAAATTCATTACACTTAATGACAAGCATTAGGAAATTTGATCAACCTAAGACAACATTTCTCCAGCGTGCATCCTCTTGAACTCATGGCCTTAACTACCTTAGTTACAACATTGAATGAGAGTCAGGCATCTTGAGCAATGCTTTTATAGCAAATAAGAACCATCAAATTTTCCTTTAACATATTTTTAGCAAATGATAGTCTAAACTAGTCTTGCATGTGAGTTTCCCATATTATTGAAATAACTATCAAACTTCCATTCTTTCTTCACCTAGTTATTGAGGTAGCTCTAATCAACAGTTTTAACTCTGTTTGCACTTCCTTTCTATTCATTAACCTGATAAACCTCGACAAAAGCCAACCTTTGGCTTACCATTCCTTCCCTAGTTCCACATAAACATTTATCATACAACACAAAGAATGAAACAAGTAAATTTTCCAAAGACATATTCATAAATGACAAACTAATCAGAATCTTCATCGTGGTCATCGTAAATATTACGTAATCAATTGCTCATTGAGTTTCAACATACCTGGCATGAAGGTAACTATTCCGAGGGCTAAGAGACCATAACCTTGGGACTTCTCTCCCCCCATGTGACCAGTGAAGATAAAGAATGATAAAAAGAGAAGTACACATCCAAGGGACAGCAGAAAAATTGCAAGGAAAATGGACTTCCATGGGATTCTATCATAAGATCCAGGTGTATAATCAAATCGAGGGTCATGTTGTACACCAAATTTATCATCATTATCAACGTCAGGAAGAGCACTGTAACGAACATTGCGCCTTGATGACATACTTACTTACCAGCACTTTTAAAATCCAAATTAGCTGAAAAAGAAACCAAATTGCTTCAGAACCTGGTAAAGAACCAGAAATCAATACATAAATAAATCAAGAAAAAAAACCAAAAAATCCAATCTTTTTGGGTCAAACACGGAAAAAGAACCTCAACCATGAGCAGAATCAATGAAAACGAAGATGGGTTATCATTTTTAGTAATTTCCACTACATATTTTCTTTCTACAATTAGCTGAAACAATTCTCAAACAATCACAAGAAGAGAAGTACTGCTGAACCATTAAATTTTAGAATCATATGCTCAATTCTCAAAAAAAATATTCTTATGAAACGAAAGCAAAGACCGGAACAGAAAGAGATGTACCTCGTAATTTTATGTCGCGTAGACGCCGGCTCGTCGGTTTGTATTGTGGGTTTTATATAGAGATGACGGTAAAGAAAGACTGCAAAATTTTATTCTTCTGCCTTTGATTCCTGTCTGGCTGCTTGAAGAAATCTGGTTTTTGACTTCGATTATTGACGGGCTCGGAAAGTATAGAACTACGCGTACGTGGAAAATGGGGTGTCAATGTGCAATCAGGTTTTACCATCTGTTGCCTGAGTCATGTGACTCTCGCGTGATGGTAAAAGAAAATAGAGACTTGCGACTTGGGAGGGAGTTGCTCGCTTATATTTTTACTTTTTGTTAGGACAAAATTTCTTCAAACTGAATGGACAGTTAAATACAGAAATTAATAGCTTTTGTATTCTATCATCTAAAACAGAGAAAGAAAAATAAATAAATAAATAAATAACCTACCCGCCACGTAATATTTCACTAGTAAGCCATGATAGATGAGAAAATTCAAATCCTGTAAACAAAAATTTGCAAACCCAACAAATAATAATAAAAAAAAAGAACATTAAACTTAAGATTGTATATGTAATTTGACCTTATGGATGGAGTTTGATTTTTTTTTTAAATAATTAAATTGATATTTAATTACAAAATGGGTTTCTAAATTTTATTATTTATTATTGCCAATTTTTTTAACACAATTAATATTTTAAATATATTGATATCATCACAACACTTTTAATCACTAAAGTTTTTGTTCAACTTATTACCGATATATTTTTATTTTGTTGCAAATAATTTTCGTTTAAAAAATTAAGTAGATATTCATGAAATCAATAATCCCAATAAATTTAAATATAAATAAATAACACTTCAAGCATAGTTGGTTTTGTCAATCCACAAAACTACGAACTGGGAATAAGAATGTAAGGAGTGGAGATAGCACCATTCATTCCTAATTTTGTGTTCCTATTAGTATTCTTTTCATTTTTTAATCAATTTAAGATTTAATACGCTTTTTTTGTTTTATTTTTTTAAAAATCAAAATTAACAAGAAATTAGTTTTATCATCAAAGGAGGAACTAATGTTGCACTGAGACTAAACTACAAATAAGTCTTTAGTTTCATTATAGAATTTATAGTTTAATCACAGAGATGAACATTCTACGTAAAGGTTAAGATATGACAATAAAGTTTATACGAATAAACCGATAATCTTCTTAAAAAATGCTCTAATACACTTGTTAGAAAAAGCCAATTACCATCTACAATCTAAAAAACCCTATTTCCCATACATTATAATTGCGAAGCCATGCATGGTGGATAAATAATTAGTATATTGTCGGTTCTTACACAAGGCATGTTGGTAATTTTTTTTTTTTTATTTTTTTTTAAAGTGCTGGGAAATAACAAATTGGACTTAGCAATACTCTCTTTGCATAAACTCAGATTTGCAGCCATATTCACTACGTGTCTACGTTTACACAGACTCAAATTTGGAACCAGGGGTTTGGTTAAGTTTGAGTTTAGGGTGTGCAGAAATTCGACTAGAAACCCATCCCATAGCATTGGAATTGGGTTATGTTAGGATGGGTTTTGGATAAAGTTAGGTCCATATGCAACTTAAACCCTAAATTGAGATAGAATGTACGTATTTTCCCTTGTAACTTGAAAAAAAAAATAAATAAATAAAAAAATATATATATATATATATATATATAGAAAACGAAAGTAACGGGAAACAACCCTAACTAATTCCTATGTAAAAGATAAAATACAGTCCATTTGAAAAGCCCATTCACCATCCCAGTTGCTGTAAAAAGAGTATGACTTGGGCTGGACATATATTTTAAGTTTGAGATAAAATAGGCCCTAACTGACGAGTGCTCAGGAAGCATATAAAATCCATCGAGCCAGCACAACTCTTGCTCGGTAGAATTCTGTGATATCTTTTCAAATTGAACCCCTACAAAGGGTTCAACTACCTTTCTAGTGCAATTTTTTTTTTTTTTTTAGAAAAATGTTCAAATAATTTGAAAGGAGTAGATAGTTGGATAGATAGATATACTCATTGACTGATCTATTTTGAAAAGAAATTTAATTTGGCAATTTATAACCGTTAAATTTATATACATTATAAACACAATTTCTATTTCTTTTTTTAAGAAAAATGTTCAAATAATTTGACTGCTTCTCCGAATCTTCAATATAAACACATACACATAAATAAGCAGATTTATATGTTTGGTCTTGATTTGCAGTAACACTTGGCACACAAACTCAGCCACAATCTTATCAGTTTTTCCTCTTCTGCACGACTATCCTTTGTTTAGTCATTCGATAGACTGAATTGCCGCATCTTTAGAAAAAGGGACACCACTTACACAAAATGATAAATAAGATGATGATGACAATGATGATTCATGCAACAAGATTGATTTCAATCATGTACAATAAAGAGGCCTTAAGAGACGAAGAAGCCCACTCATGTATATATAATTTTTAAATAACAAACTAAAATTATTAAAACATATATATTTCTATTTTAAAATAATATATATATATATATATATATATATATATATATATATATATATATATATATATATTTTTTGAAAATTATCAACTATGTAATAAGCTTATTGTTTAAAAATTACATAGAAAGATTACCAACGAAACCTTCAATAACAATACTAACACCGATCTGATTTTTCTATTAAAATTCCGATCAACACCGACATGATAGTTTATATAAGCATGATAAGTAAATTTTAGCAAACCACGCATGATCCACGTAAATATGACATATAGATTTTAGCGAGCCACGTAATTGATTTTATATGCCATTGTTTACGTAGATCCTGCATGACTTGCTAAAGTTCACGTGGCTTGTTTACGTCGATTGCTATATCGGCGTTGTCCTGAATTTTAGTTAAACAATCGGATCGGTATTAGTATTATTACGAGATGCTTAGTTGATGAATTTTTTATATAATTTTAAAGAAAATAAAATAAAATCACTAAAAAATATATAATTCGTAATTTTTTCAAATATTATGTGATATATATATATATATATATATATATATATATATATATATATATATTCCACCTTCAGACGAGTTGATGTTCTCATGAAAGATCTCGGTTAAATTTTGATGACGATATTCAAATCCTTCCCAGAGAAGTTGCTGTACAGGATTGGTCTAAAAGGACCCTAAAGATGTGGTGTGTCTATGCTGGCATTTAATTATATATCACCAAATCTTAATCAATCTGTAATAAATAATAATATAGGGTCACTCTCACACACCTAAGTCCCAATAGAGTCACAAACACCTGTTACCAAATCTTGTCACTTCATAGTGGACGCATCTTCCGTTCCACTATTTTATCTCACACTCCCATTACATCACGACGTACCTAGCTCCAAAACTTAGACAAGATCCAAATGTGCTTTCCTCATTGGATTATCAGCACGAAAAATATCAGCAGACTACTCAAAGTTTCAAGCCCATATTATATTATCTTATATTCACTAACATGATGGAATATGAAATTATTTTGAACATTTTTTATTTCATTATTATAAATTAAAAATTAAGTCGCGTAGACTTCATTATAAGGAAGGTACAACTCCCGCGTAAAACTGAAAATATCTATAAACTGAAATTTAGAATTCAATTATTCTAATCTCAAAAATATCTAGAATCATATGTTAAGTATTTTTTAATCATATCAAAAAGAAATTAGCTTTAAAGTACGTGATGCTGAACAAAAAAACATCTATATATATATTTTAACGTTTTATTATATAATAACCCGAAAGGATAACATGAAAAACAAACAGTTATAGCATCGAAAGGTTCTTAAATCATAATTGTTGTTGATCTTTTCTAGATGTGAACAAATACTTGAGGACGTATTACTAGCAATAGTTTGATTTAATGACATAATAAGATAACATTAATTTATCACGTGAGACGTGGGCATCTTGAAAACCTGTGATTCTTAAAAGCAGCACCATACACGTGGCAGAAATCTGGTGGTATTACACGAGCCCTTGCATGGAAGGTACATGCGTATCTTCAGTGATGGGGCCTTATCGGAGTTTCGTGGCGCCACGTGTTGAATATCTACAGGACTTTTGATTGATACCCTGCGACGCGTGTGTTCTCTTGGTATTGCTTTGCCACCGCTACCTAACAATGGTGGGGTCAACTCCAAATCTTTTGGCCGACACTTAAATTTTTGAAAATAGAAAAGTTAATTAAAGAGCACTTTTGCACGCGAGGCCCTCTTTGTTTTACTTATTTCCACTTTTAGCTAAAAATAAACTTTGTCCTAGTTTTAACCCCCTACAAATAGGGTATCCTATTTATGAACTCAATTAACCATTTTTGCATCCTTAGTTTGATCTACAAGCCACCAGTTTATGTTATTGATAGAATGTTAGACTGAAGGTATTATAATGTTTTGTAAAATATTCGTGTTTTAATTTTACTATGGACAACAATTGCTGTTGTTTGCAACTGCTTATAATAACCACTTATATAAATTATATGCAAATGCATGATTAGCATGCATAATCAAGATCAATGACTCATGCAATCATGTCCATCTTTATCATGATTTTTTATTGTTTAAAAGACATATATTGCACTTAGGCAATAACTTCACTAAACGATATTTTGTTTTTAGTTTATTAAACAATATATTCATTGAATTACTTAGCACTCATATACTAGAATAAGATCTTAATTGAGAGACAAAAACCTACTACAGTAATTCGTAATTATGATTTGTTATACCAACTAATTGAACAATTTTAATACATAAGAATTTACTAGGATACTTATGAGTACATTTAATATCTATTTTAAGATTTTTATTTCTCATATACAATACATCATATTATCGTAATTACATTTCTTGATATACATTTAAAGGAATCACTTTCTTCCTTGTTGGTTTAGTAGTTCATCTATACATTGACTCCATTTATTTTATATGGTAGTTTACTCAATTTATCAATGTAGTTAGATCAAACCTTTATATTCCTAGAGAAAAAACAACTAATGTGTTGAAGAATTATGATCTAATATCCACATATCAGTTGATAGAAAAGCTAAATAAAATACTAGCTATCTGCAACCTTTACTTCTATCACATTTTTTTATGGATGACCAAATAATTCATCCTCTAATAATCGAATGGAAACATAAATTATGGGAGTAAAGCTAATTAAGGAAACTTGGAGGGTGAGAATGTTTGCACTTTGAAAAGTCATTCAAAAAGGAAAAAAGAATTAGCACCTACTAATTATCCCCTCACTCCCTCGAGTACTTTTATGCTTTCAAAGGGGATTAGCATTTCAACTTCAAAGCCTACTTGAGAATTTTCTTCCAATTATGTGTGTGGTTCATGTTGGTTACCACCTTTGAAAACAACACCAAACATAATTGTAACAATATCATACACTATGCTCTAATCCTTAAGTACTCTTTATTTCACCTATTCCTCTTTTACACTCACAAACTTAAAAAAATCCCTTCAATGTTAAGTGCTCCAAGACGACCCTCCTCCAGCACCATAACCAATGGAGACACCAATCAAGACCATGACACTGATAATGAAAACGAACAAATCCGTGACATCCATGCTTTAACCCCACCCCGTCCACCGCCTCGAAACCGTTGGGAAACAGGCGGCGGTCATCATGGATCGTACTCTATGTCCATGAGCAGTGAAGGTTCAAGTGAAAACTTCACTACCATGAGTAGAGAGTTTAATGCTCTTGTGATTGCAGGGTCTGCTATAGGAACTAGTAATACTACCAACAATAGCAGCTCCGATCATAATGATATTAATGATATTGGAAGCAACACCTTGTTGTCTAGGATTGGAGAGGATGATCACGATGTGCCTGAAGAAACTAACCCTTTGGCTATCGTGCCCGATAACAACCCTTTAGACCCCGAACCAAGCTCGAGAAGCCTCGGGTCCGGTCGTGTGGGTGGTGGCAGCCATGGTGGTGCTGGTGGTGAAGTGTCGGTGCAAAGAGTGAAAAAAGAGGAGGTCGAGACTAAGATAACTGCATGGCAAAATGCAAAGATTGCAAAAATCAATAATAGGATGAAGAGAGAAGATGCTATAATCAATGGGTGGGAGAGCGAGCAAGTACAAAAGTCTACTTCTTGGATGAAGAAAGTCGAGGTACGGTTACATAGGAGAAATATTGATTTATGATTATTTGCATGGTGCGTTTGTTTGTTAATTTCTTGTTATAAATATTAATTGTTTTATGTTTTTGTTGTGATGCTTATGATTACGATGATACTTGAGATCAGCTGATCATTAATTTAAGAAATCATGGATGTAATTAGTCATAATTGGCTATGCAAAGTCTTGATGATGTGGTTAAAGTATCTCTTATAGTCTTACTTCACTGATGATGCCTGTATTTACCAAGTTGTGATTTATGGACCACTAGTTGATTCTTTGATTTATATACTTCAGCTATCCTACTATATTTCTAGTTTGTGGACTTTAGGATAGTTAAATTTCTCAATTTCTGGATGAAATCTTTCTAGATTTTGTAATTATTGCCCCCTAGAAAAGCACAATACTAACCTTTTACCAAAGACAAGTATTTTTCAAGCTTCGAAGCACTAAGTACAGGAGATAAGCATCTGTGCCCTGACCTGTACACTAGTTGATAAGCACTATGTTCATTCTTTCATTATCTTGGTTGATTTTCAGTCAACTATTAGTTGATTTGATTATGGGGTTGGATCTTTTTGTTTAAAGTAGCTGACGGTAAAACAATCAATATGTCAATTCATTATTTAACAACTATTCTTCAATTTGTGCAGAGGAAGTTAGAGGAGAAACGAGCAAAAGCCTTTGAGAAGATGCAGAATAAGGTAGCAAAGGCACACAGAAAGGCAGAGGAGAGAAGGGCATCAGCTGAAGCTAAGAGAGGAACTAAAGTTGCCAGAGTTCTTGAAGTAGCCAACTTGATGAGAGCTGTTGGAAGAGCTCCTACAAAACGATCCTTCTTTTGAGCCTTAATTAATAGTACCACATAATAGTACTCCTACAAACTACAAAGATTTCAAAAAAAAAAAAAAAGTGTTTGACAATAATTGCTCCAAACTGTTAGGGTTCCTGCATCTTTAGAACTATAGGGAACCCTACAAAAATGGGCACCGAAGAGCAGCACTCAAAGCTACAAAAACATTGATTTGAGTGTTATTATGGGTCTTTGTCAGTGTTTGAACTTTGCAAGTGTGCTAAGAATTTTGCGGGGCTTGTTGGTGATGGTGGTGGAACAACCTTTTTTGTCTTGTACAGTTGTATTGCTTCTTATTATTCACAGAAAATTGGTGCTTAATTAATAGCTGTACCTACTCAAAGTTGATTTAAGTTTTAGTTTGGGACATGTACTCTAAGAGTGGAAGTGAATATTATACAGAAAAACCATTATCTTTGTGTGTATATGCTTTTTCAAGGTGGAGATATTGTTTCTGATGTACAATACTATTTAAAAATCTGACATTTTTAGCTGAAGGAAATCCAGATTTGATTTTTGAAACCTTGAAGGAACGATTGCAGCAAAATCAAGTGTACGCAAGCTCAAAACAGCTCCGAGAAAGAGAGAACCATACCTAGAAGAAAGCACACTTGCGGTCTCGAAGACAATCATTGTTTTCCCGAACTGTGGCTTCTAGCATTGAACCAGTTCTTTCGAACATTATGCCTTTTCTTTACTTCTGGCAATAAAGCCTCCCTAATTGCTTAATTAGGAACATGAAACGGAAGCCTGTAGCCTGACATCATAGGGGAAAAAACGGAGGCATATGTCAAAAAAATATCCAAAGAGACAGAACGAGTGTTTCGTGGAAAGTAGTCCCTATATAAACAGAGTAAAACTGTGAACTTTGATGCGCCAGAAACCCAAAAAGTGGAAATTTTATATGTCAGGCCAAAAGTCTTGGAATTTGTTAGAGGCATGATTAGACACCCGTACATCTCCAGTAGACAAGAGAAATTCCTAAGAGCACGATCAGGATTTATTTAACGTAACTGACATCTTTACAAGCATGAAAAGCACTTTCTTTTTTTCTAATGTCATCTTCTTGATTAAAAAACAAACATGAAAACCACTGAAGTAAAATAATGAAAAGAAGTTCATCGGTGCTTGTAAACCGTGATTTGCGTTACCTATGCCTCGATTTGCAAGAAAAAGACGGGTGAAGATGCTGAAAGCTTTGCCACTCAAATGAATGCTACAGGTAAGGATGCATTGGAATAACATGGAGCATTATTCTCTAGCAAGAAAGTGCGTAAATTTCAAAAAGCAAATAGAGCGATGATAGAACTTGTACATTTTTCTGTCTGTGGGTGCAACGTCAAAATAAGGTTTGCTTGTTTTTACCCTGAAAAGAATGGTTAGAAGTTAAAAAAGTATCAGCAAGAAACGGAACGACTTTTCATTTTCACATTTCTTTATAAGTAGGAAAAATTTAAACTTCAGTTTCAAGAAATAATTAAAAAGAAGCTGCTCGATATCTAAATTTTAGAGGAGATTGGTTGAAAAACATGACACTCGATCTGGTCATGAAATCCTACACAACATTGCAAAATGACAAACACTTTAATCGATGATATGATGCGATGTGACTGCCTGATTTTGATCAGGTGCCCAAAGTCTATATCAGGATTCAGGGCAATGTCTGGACGTTGATGAGCGTTCTTATGGGTTTAGCTGTGAAGCCATTATGTTTTAGGCCTTGATTCAAGCAAAGCAGAAAACAATGGATATGATTGACAAAAGAATCTCAACTGCATTTGGACGTATATATCTAGCAAGTTTCTTTTGGCAAACAACCTAACCAGACTTGCTAAAAAAAGTCGCGGCTTTTTTTGGATTATCTAACCGACAAGTATCAATTCGAAATCTTATTACTCGCCCCCCAAGACTGTTAATAACGCACATGAGAATGATGGTATAGGAGCTAGGCAGCTCTATTATGGGATCTTGAATAGGAATCCTCAAGCTATAGATAATATAATAATCCAACCATATCACTTGGAAAATCCAACCGATAAATTTTTTTAAGAGGAAGGTATCAAAAGCATTTAAAAAAGGTAAGTCAATAGATTGTTCTATAGTTCTTCAATCCACCTATCATGGAACAAAGAACAATGATCAAATTTGCTAGCATTTGTCCAAACTACAAATCACCCAAACTAAACTGTGGTGGTATAGTATTGATATATATGCTTGTTGTGTTTTCAAAATGTTTTGTTTGGTTTCCTAGACTTTTAAAGATAATCCAACAATGGCAAACCACAAAACAGATAACTAATCTTTGAACAGTCACGTACCTATACGTGATGCCTGATGATATCATGATCCAAATCAATCGGGACACACTGACTGAACTACTATTGCCCTTATCAGCATCATCACATATCTGCAATTTGTAACCGTATGTCTGTAAGCAATGTAGGTAATCAATCAGAGAATGCCTACAGATTCGCTTTCCTTACACCCTGTCAGAATAAATCCAGTATCCTCACTGCACTCAAGGTAAGAATGACAATGCTTACAGTTGGAAGATCCGTCAGATGATAACATCCAGTCTCAATCTCAACTGTTGATTTATAAGTGCAGCATTCCGTAACTGCTGTATTTGTGCAATGTAATAATTGAAGGGCAGATGCCAAATAGATAGTGACCCCAATGAATAACGAGAACTCTGTTAGGGAGATGATTTCTTTTTTTTTTTACACGAGTTCTTAAATTAGATTGAGATCAGTCCTTCTATCGTATGTCCCTCTCATTTCATTTCTTAATAGATCCAATCTTGCATAAATTTCTATACTTTCTGGATGGTCTGTGCCACTTGCCACAAAATGATGGACCTTGTTCTCAATCTCAATCCAGCTACTGCCTGCTTCTTTACTCAACTTCAAGTGTTTCATAGTTGTTCTAACTTTCGATGCCTCATCTATCATTGCTTCACCAGCATACATATTTGAAACAAGTATGTAAGATCCTGCCTCATCAGGTGCCAAATCAAGCAAACGTTTCGAAGCTAACTTGCCAAAATTCAGATTTCCGTGCAACTTACACACATTGACCAAAGTTCTCCAAAGCAAAGTTGACTCTGAAAAGGGACTTCTGTTGATAATATCCATGGCTTGTGATAAATATCCAGCCCGGCTCAAAAGATCAACCATACAAGCATAGTGCTCAAGCAATGGCTGAATTCCATATTTTGGCTCCATTATGTAGAATAGGCATATTCCATTTTCCAACAAACCCGAATAAGTGCAAGCTTGAAGGATGATCAATATCGTGATCTCATCAGGAGCAAACCTTTCTTCTCCATCTCTTGATTTAGCAATAAGGCCTTTTTGCCTTGACCATGAAGAGTGTAAGCAGACATTATGGCATTCCAAGATATGCAATCATAAGCGTTCATTGCATTAAATGTTTGATAAGCATCCTCAAGGATTCCACATTTTGCATACATGGTAATTACAGCATTGGCTACTCAAATATCACCTGCAAATCCTGTTTTAATAGAATATGCATGGAGACCTCTCCCTCTTACTAAAGAAGCTCGATTGGCAGATAAACTTAGAAGCTGCGAAAAATTCACTGGATCTGGTTTAATACCAGCTAATCTCACCTGACTAAGAAAAACCATGGGATCCTCTTCATTTCCATCATTCTCAATAAATCCCACTAGAATGGCATTGAAAGAAGCAGTACTCTTTGGGGAAAGACCATTAAAAACTGTTTTTGCAGACTGCAAGTTCTTGCATTTGGCATATAAATCTATTAAAGCAGTTCCAATATTAATATCACAGGGATAACCAAGCTTGATCACGAATCCATGAATTTGAATTCCCAGTTCCAAGTTTTTGCATTCTGAGCAGCCATCAAGAATTGTAGCTAACAAGCCAGAATCGCATTCAAGACCACAGCCACACAATTCCAGAAAAATGTCAATAGCCTTTTCACCAAAACCATTCTTTGTGCAGCCAGATATAAGGGCAGTCCAAGAAATCAAATTCTTCTTGTTCACTGCAGAAAACATCCTCTCTGCGTCCTCAACCATTCCATTTTTCCCATACATAGTAACAACTGCATTTCCCACCGAAGTTTCTAGCCAAAAACCAAACTTAACAGCAAGCCCATGTAGTTGCTTACCCTCCTTGACATTGCAAGTGCTAATTATGTTAGTGAAATTATAATCAGTCGGCTCCAAACCAGCACTTATCAGATATATAAAAACCCCAACAGCCCTCTTCTCATATCCAGCTTTCCCATATTCCAAAATCATAAAATTTAAACACCGAACATCTTTACAAGCCAAGCCATTAAACACTTCCTGCGCCTCATCAAAGCAACCGTTTCTCAAGTACATGGAAATCAAAGAAGTACCAACAAAAACATTCTCCTCAAACCCACTTTTTTTAACAAAACCATGAATTTGTTCCCCTAATACCACATCCCCTATCTCACTACAAGCCTGTAAAATCACCACGCAAGTATGCTCATTAAACTTCTCTCCAAATTCACACATCGCAGACAACACCAAACCCAGACACAAAGTCTCCATTCTCGATATATCCTCTTAGTAGTGAAGTCCAAGTAATAGTGTTTCTAACAAGCATTTCATCAAACACCTTCTGTGCCACATCCAATCTGTTAAATTTCGCATAGAAGCTAATAAGATTATTGCCTTCAAATGGTTCATTTTGAGAGGCTGACTTCACTAAGTAGGCATGGATTGCCTTTCCGAGCAAGAAATCTCCAGACCCAATTGAGATTTTTAGGAGCTGAGGCCAGTCACCGGAGAGAAGGGTCTCTTCTGAAGATGATGCAAATGAAATATTGGCGCAGTTTTGAGTTGTTTTTGGTTTTGAGCTTTGTGGTTTGTTGTTTTTGTCGTGGTTTAGGGGTTTAAAGGAGGAGGCAAAGATGGTGTTTGGTGGTTTTGGTTTCGATGGCGGGAAAGGTTGTTGGGTTTTTGAGAAACAGGGAAGGGAAGTGGCGGGGAGAAGGGCATTCATGGAATTTTAATTGATATTTGAATAGTTGGGCAATGAGGTTCCAGTTTTTCTGTAAAGCCTTTATCTGCTCCTCTCAGTCCTTTGGTTTGCTAAAGGCTTTTAAAGGCCCATTTCAAATTAAAAATTGCTTTCTGAAAAAGCAAAAAGGAAATTGAAAGTCTCTTCCATATTATAGCTGGTGCGCTTAGGGATGGCAACCCGGGTTGGGATGGTGCGGGGATCGCCATCCCCATCCCTTAAAAATTTTTTTATCCCTATCCCATGTCTCATTCAAAATAAAATTTTGCTCCCCATCGTTTGGTCGGAGCTGGATCATTATCCCCATCCCCGCCTTGCTGAAAAAAAAAAAAAAAGACCATCATTGTAAAATTTCACACCTCATCTCCGCTCCAAATAAGGTAGGGTGGAGCTGCTTCGGGACGGGTTGGATTGTCATTCTAGGTGTGTAGATAATTTATTGTTCTTCATATATTTCTCATTCAATTTTAACTTAAAAGACCTCACATTATAAGATAGAAAATTGCATAATAACAAAACATCTTTCTTTAGTATAAAAACAATTATTATTGCTGCTCTTGAGAATCATAACTAAATTTTTATTGCATTCAAATCCAAAATAATAATAATAATAATGACGCAAAAAAAAAAAACTCTAACTCGCATAAAAAGAAATAAATTGAATAATTACATCCATATATATCATATAGAACCAAAAAAAGGCTTAGAGGGTAAGCTTAAATCACAAATTTTGGTTTTCTAAGCTGAATTAAAAAAAAAAAAAAAAAAAAACCATAGGGATGGCACAAAGCTCACACTCCCATTCGTAAACTCTATCTTAAGCCTCAAATTGAACTCTTAATTCTAAGCTGGGCTACTCTCTTGGTACCCTATATTACTTTATGGACCCATTTGTCGACTTGGCCGAAAGCGGGCCTATAATAATAATACCAAACAAAAAAAAGAAAAAAAGCTCACTCCTCTTAGCTCCATTCAACCTCTCAAATTTATCGTTAGTTTCAAAACTGAATAACAGCCTTATACCCTTACCTTGCCAAATCCGTTTCTCTTCCTCCCTGCCTCTCTCTCTCTCTCCCAAACGCACTGCGAGAGAGGTTTCTGAGCGAGCGAGCGAGCGAAAAATGGAAATGGCAATTAACAACCACAACAGCTCCTCTTTCTCTCTTATAAACCCTAAACCAGCTCTACTTACCAAACAACTCTTTGGTAACTGCCTCAGCTTATCTTCCTTCCCGAAAACCAACAAAACGACAGCCACGTCATCACTCCGGTGCCGCCGTTCTCGTTTTCCATTTCACTATCCGATCAAATGCTCTGTTTCTACCGAAACCGCCACCACCGGTAAATTTAGATAAATTTCATTTTCTCCTTTCGTTCTAATTTCGTTTATTTATTTTAATTGTGTATTTTTTTTTAATCTGTAGAGAAAAAGAGCCAGTTGATGAGAAGAAGAGACATACGGAACATAGCAATAGTAGCTCATGTTGATCATGGTAAAACTACTTTAGTTGATGCCATGTTAAAGCAGTCTAAGGTAAATTTTTTAACTTTTTTATCCTTAATTACTGTTTTTTATCGATAAGTACTGTTGTTTTAATCAATAATAGTATTGGTAATAATAAAAATGATAATTTTTTTGTTAATTATTTTTTGTGTAGGTGTTTCGAGATAATCAATTTGTGCAAGAGAGGATTATGGACTCGAATGATTTAGAACGCGAGAGAGGAATTACTATATTAAGCAAAAACACTTCAATTACTTATAAGGATACTAAGATTAATATAATTGATACTCCAGGTCATTCTGATTTTGGTGGTGAAGTTGAAAGGATTCTTAATATGGTCGAAGGAGTTCTCCTTGTGGTACATTTTCTCAATCTTTGAAGATTATGCATATTTGATTTTTATGTGAATGAATTTGATTTTTTTTTTTTTCCAGTTTAAGCTAAAATGCAATGATATTGTATTTTTGACATAATTAATGGAGGTCTCGATATCCTTAGGTGGATTCTGTTGAGGGGCCGATGCCACAGACGAGGTTTGTTTTGAAGAAGGCTTTGGAGTTTGGTCATTCAGTTGTTGTTGTTGTTAATAAGATTGATAGACCGTCTGCACGTCCGGATTTTGTTATCAATTCAACTTTTGAATTGTTTATTGAACTAAATGCAACGGATGAACAGGTATTTTGATGATTGCTATATTGTAAGGATTTGCAAGTGTAAGGTTCATATTGAGATGGCCCGTTATATATTTTGATAGTCATTGTGGAGAATGATAATAATAGAAAACGTACTGAACCTCAATGAGAATTTGGTGAATAAATAATTAGAATTTACTTCTGGAGATAGTCTGTTCAAGCCTTTTGTTATGTTGTTTCAAGTGTGTGTGTGTGTGTTTTTTTTTTTTTTAAAAAACTCAGTGGATGCTCTAATATCATCAAGAGATAGCAGTTTAAGGTATGGTCTGACAGCATCTTTAATTTATGATGCAGTGTGATTTCCAATCAATATATGCAAGTGGTATAAAAGGGAAGGCAGGATTATCTCCTGATGATTTGGCTGAAGATCTTGGCCCACTTTTTGAGGCTGTAATCAGATGCATACCTGGACCACATATTGACAAAGATGGTGCACTGCAAATGCTTGTTAGTGGTCGTTCCTTGTATTGCTTTTTTAATTTTGTCCTTATGTTTTGCTTTTATATCGTTTGTGTGAAAAATAGGGTTAGCTAAAGGTATGTGTATTGCTCTGTCTTTTCATTATGCGGGTACAAGCTTATATAATACAGTAGTGCAGCTATACTAGGAAACTACAGCTGTACATTAACTAATAGATTTGATTTAGCTAATTTATAGGAGCTAATTCCTCAACTCAATCTTCTAGACCGTATCTTCCAACAATCCCCCTTAAGCTGGCTGGAAAATATTTTCCATAGCTAGCTTGCTTACTAACACATTGAACTGATTGTTAGGAAGTCCCTTTGTAAGGATATCAGCTACTTGCTGAGTTGTAAGGATGTAGGGAATACAAATGAGTCCACTTTCAATCTTCTCCCTGATAAAATGCTTGTCCATGTGTTTAGTTCTATCATGAAGAACTGGGTTGTGCGTAATCGAAATTATAGCTTTGTTGTCACAGTAGACCTTCATAGGTGTAGCAATAGGAACCTTCAACTCCTCTAGAACTCTTTTAATCCATATAGCCTCACAAATCCCATGAGCTAGAGCTCTAAATTCTACCTCAGCACTGCTTCTAGCTACCACATTTTGCTTTTTGCTTCTCCAGGTTACTAGATTCCCTCCAATGAAAGTACAGTACCCAGAAATTGACCTTCTGTCAGTTTTTGCTCCAGCCCAGTCAGCATCTGTATACACCTCCACTTGGAGGTTATTCCTCTTCTGGAACATCAACCCTTGTCCAGGAGTTCCCTTCAAGTACTTTAGGATTCTATAAGCAGCTCCAAAATGCTCTTGACTAGGAGAATGCATGAACTGACTTATCATGTTTACTGCAAAGGCTATATCTGATCTTGTATGAGACAGATATATTAGTCTTCCCACCAACCTCTTGAACTTATCTCTGTCAATCACATCCTCAGGTTTGGCAGGGCTGAGCTTCACATTTGGTTCTACTAGTGTGTCAACTGCCTTGCACCCCAAGAGGCTAGTTTCATTTAGTAGGTCTAGGATATACTTTCTTTGATTCACAAAGATTCCCATTTTTGATCTAGCAAATTCCATCCCCAGGAAATACTTCAATGGTTCTAGGTCTTTAATTTCAAAATCTTGAGCTAGCTTCTCCTTCAACCTCTTTATCTCTTCTTCATCATCACCAGTTAAGATAATATCATCAACATAGACAATTAGAATTGTTTGTTTACCTTCTGGTGACCTTCTGTAGAACATGGTGTGGTCAGCTTGACACTGGCAATATCCATGGCTCTTTACAGCTTTTCCAAACCTGTCAAACCAAGCTCTAGGGGATTGCTTTAATCCGTATAGTGACTTCTTCAACTTACAGACTTTATCCAGTCCATATACACCTTTAAAGCCCCGCGGAAGCTTCATGAATACTTCCTCTTCTAGGTCTCCATTCAGAAAAGCATTCTTCACATTTAGTTGATGTAATTTCCAATCAAAGTTCACTGCAAGTGACAACAGAATTCTGATTGTGTTTATTTTTGCTACTGGAGCAAATGTTTTCTGACAATCCACTCCATAGGTTTGTGTAAACCCTTTTGCCACCAGCCTTGCCTTTCTTCTTTCAATACTACCATCAGCTTTAAACTTGACGGTAAACACCCATTTGCAACCAACAAGTTTCTGGCCTTTAGGCAGATTCACCAGGTTCCACGTCCCATTCTTCTCCAAAGCATTCAATTCCTCCATAACAGCTAATTTCCAGCCCGGGTCATTTAGTGCTTCCTGAATGTTTCTTGGAATAAACAGATTAGTGACCTTGGAAACAAATGATCTATGTTTTTGGGACAATTTACTGTAAGATAAGTGTTTAGATAACGGGTGATTGGTACAAGACCTTTTACCTTTCCTAAGGGCTATAGGTAGATGATGATCTGCAGACAGTTCAGTAGAAGTATCTATAGGACCAATAGAAACATGTTGATCAACATCATTGATAACTAGAGGCAAATTAGCAGATGGATTACCTGAGTTTTGATCGTGACTAGGTTCAAAATGCGGGAAATTTGATTGGCCCTGAGTGGTTTCCAGTACTGGTTCCATTGGATGATGTGCTTCACTACTCTGTTGATGTTTCCTCTTTGTATAAACCAGAAGCTCACTGTTTTTGTCCCTGGGGATAGTTTGTAGTGTTTCTCCCCCTGAAGTAGGATCATTCTGTATAGGCAGATTGGGTTGACCACTAGCTTCTACTTGAGGTTTCAGGTTGTGTACACTTTCTACCACCATTGTGGGTAAAGGATTAGGAACAATATCCCAGAAATTTCCTTTCTCACTATCGTGAC